TCTGTTTTCTACCCTTCACCTGCATCTAGCTGAGAATGCATTCTTGTGGCTCTGCGCTTCTTTGTCTCTCTCTCTCTCTCTCTCTCTCTCTCTCTCTCTCTCTCTCTCTCTCTCCCCCTCTTACTCTTCCTTTCTCTCTCATTTTAGTATGATGTTATTGCTAAAATATTATACAGTTGCCCATTATTGCATGCTATCAGGTGTATGCTAGGTTTGTCTGTGGCTTACTAGCCCTTTAAAATCCAAGTCATTGCAGAATAGAAATACGTCTCCACATGAAATCAGCTCTCCTAGAAGTCACCCATATGAGCCTACTGTAAGAAAGGGAAGCTTGTCTTACTAATCACCACAAATAGCATAATACAAAAACAACTGAATAAAGGCATGTTTGAGGCCACGAACTCTTTAAATTACTTGCACTACAGCACAAAAATAAAAGTTCAGAATAACTTGCAAGATAGCAGCTCTACTTTTTCCTTATTAAAAGTCTATACTTATTAAATGTTAATCTTGCAAATTATTCTGAACTTTCATTTTTATGCTATAGTCCAAATAATTCAATTTCCAATAATGGATGCACATACTTCTATGTATCTTCCCTAACAGTTTAAAGACATCATATTACAGTGATACATGCATGCCCATGTTTATAGCAGCACAACTTATACCAGCTAAATCTGGGAAGTAGCCTATAACCCCATCAACAGCTGAATAGATAAAGAAACTGTGATACATATCTCCAATAGTATACTACTCAGCCATAAAGGAGAAGAAATTTGAGTCATTTCTGGGAAAATGTATACACCTTGAAACTATAATGATAAGTGGAATAAATTACATGGTAAAATATCACATGGGTTCCTTATATGAAAAGCCAAAAATATAAAAGATAGACTAAGTTAGACATTATAAGAGGGTTATATACACACACACATATATGGAGGGGGCAAAAAATATATGCACACTTCAGAAAAAGAAAACCTTGTATAAATATTTTAATGCTAAATTATTAAGACATCATAAGTTTAATATGTTACCTTTGGCCTCCACAATTAGAAGAGGTGCTCGCGGTGTCGGCCATTGGCTTCCAGATGTTTATTAGTATGGTCAACTGCTGCTTTATACACACACACATATATGGAGGGGGCAAAAAATATATGCACACTTCAGAAAAAGAAAACCTTGTATAAATATTTTAATGCTAAATTATTAAGACATCATAAGTTTAATATGTTACCTTTGGCCTCCACAATTAGAAGAGGTGCTCGCGGTGTCGGCCATTGGCTTCCAGATGTTTATTAGTATGGTCAACTGCTGCTTGGGTAGCCTTGGTCGTTGAGACTGCTGCACATGCATTTTCAGTTTCTTCTCTAAGGGCTGGCAGTGTAGTGGGTTTTCTGCAATATATGACATCCTCTAGGGTCTGCCGTACAGAGGTAACATCATCCATTGCAAAAAACTCATACTGTTTTTCTTTTCTTGAAGTATGTATACAATTTTTTGGCAGATTCTATATAGATAAGTAAATAGGTAGCTAGATAGATAGAGATATCAGTTCCCCAATATGAGTCTGATTATTTTATATTGTAAACATATTCTAATGAAAATGAAGAAAAACTGGGAAAAATGGAAACTCAAAAAAAAAATCACATTTCGAACCAATGAACTATTCTGAGGAAAACAAACAGAAAAATAAAATGACCTTTAATGGCCTTTTCAAGTATGAAGTTCTTTAAAAACACTGAGAAAAACATTCATTTAAGTGACCAAAATGTTTGATAACTCTCAGCTAATAGCTAAGCTATAAAAATATCTAAATTATTTAATCCTGAATCCAGTAAGTTTTCCCTCAAACTGCTTCACATCACTCTTTTCCTTTCTGCCCCTTTGTACCATCTCTGCCTGTCATTATTAGACTACTGAATTCTTATTGATCAGCTCCCCTATTAGTAATGCTTTTTAGAGTATAATCCAAATATAGATTTACTTGTTTATGAATTCTATAAATGCACCACTGAATTATTATAAACTATAAAATCACACAAAAAATTTAAAAAGTTAAACATTAAATATAAGCAGAAATAGAAGTTCAAGCCGAGAATTTAGCTCAGTGGTACCACCACCTGCCTCGCAAGTGAAGGTCCTGAGTTTGATCCACTGCATAAAAAAAAAAAAAAAGAAAAGAAAAGAAAAGAAAAGAAAAGAAAAGAAAAGAAAAGAAAAGAAAAGAAAAAGAAATTGAAGTTCAAGTATCTGTTCTTGCCCCCTTGGATGGCCTTGCACACCCTCTGAGCCACATGCCCCTTAGAAGGACTGACCCGGCTGTTAGAATAATTTGCAAAGTGGGCTCTGGGCCTCTTTTTCACTGTTCTTCTGTCCAATCTAAAACCATCTGTCAGGAATCTTTTAAAAATTTAAATCCAGCCATGTTACTCATCTTCCGAAAATTCTTTTATGATTCCAAATAGATAACAAGGTAAAAATTTCTTAGATGACTCATATTTTTTTAAATCCCATTTCTTCATTGGTGACCTATTTTCCAGTCCAGGAACTATATTAGTTAGGGGTCTCTAAAGGAACAGAATCAATAGAAAATACATGTGTAATTATGGAAGAGAATTTATTGGGTAGCTTGTGGGATCAGAGGTGGGAGAGGCTACAGTGATCTGTGCCCTGGAGAGCTGGAGGATGCAGTAGCTGCTCAGTACAAAAGCTGGAAGCTACAGAACAAGAGGGATTAAAGATGGAAGTCCAAGGGGGGAAAAACGAGAACCAAGACCTGTCATCTAAAGGAACAACATCCCAACAATAAATGTAACAGTACTGTATACCTAACACGTACCAATAAACTAATAAAAGAGAAAAAAATGTTGAAGTCCAGGGCCGGGGATTTGGCTCAGTGGTTCTACTGCCTGCCTTTTAAGCACAAGGGCCCGAGTTCGATCCCCGGTACCACACACACACAAAAAAAAAATGAAGTCCAAGCTCAAAGGCCTGGAAGCTCACTGGAGAGTCACTGGTATGACTCTACTTTGGAAGGCTGAAGAAAATGAAGATTGATGTCCAAAGTCAATGGCAGTGACAGACCCACCCACTCAAGCAGACTGAAGCTCTTCAAAATGCACACTAACTTCCTTTTTTATACCTTTTACTCTATTCAGGGTACAAACCTGTTGGTTGGTGCCACCCACAGCTGGGGTTGATCTTCTCCCTCAGTTCGCTGGCCTACCTTCCAGTCATCTATGGAAACACCCATCAAACACACCCAGAAGTATGCTGTGCTAATCTGCTGTGTGTTCCTTAATCCAGTCAGATTGACATATGAAACTAACATTCAGAGGAACCACTCCGTATTCTGAAATTCAATGACATAGTCTATGTACTTTTAACTTTTATTGCAAATTTTTTTTTCTCGCCAGGATGTCCTTCCTTTGTCTGCCATTCCTACTCACATTGAACCCTTGAAATTAACTCAAATGTGTTATCCTCCTAGGTATATACCCTGATACCTTTTGCCAGTTCTTCACTTCCTTCATATCAACTATTTTATTGTAATTTAATTATTTATTGCCTGAGCCTCCTTCTAAATTGAGTTTCTAGAGATTAGCAATCTGATGTATTCATTTTGGTATTTATTGAAGCCTCATATATCAGTGGCAACAGATAGCTATAGAAGTTTGTGGAATAAATGAAGGAATGACTAAGACCTTGCAGTGAAACTACTTTATATCCTCTATCTGATGACAAATACTACTTTACCAAAAGGTGCACTAAAGTGTAGAAACATCATTTAGCCAAGATCAAGCATTCAGTGTCCAAGAATGAAATCTTGAGTGTCAAATGGCTTAACAGAAGGGTGTGGGAACTGATAAAAGAGCTCAGTGAACAAATTGTTTGTACCTCTTGCCCACCAATTCTTACTGCTACTCACATAAAGACTGAATTTTAAAAATTACATTGAGTTTTGACATTTGACAACTTAAAAGTGTCAAAGATTTGTAACTAATTGATATTCGTAGTTGATCTTTAACAGTCTTTGACATCTTTAGGTTTATTTCTAGTCCTATTCCACTTAAACATTTTTAACATTAAGAATTACTATGAAATTATTATTCTCATTCACCACTTGTTAAGATGGTGATTTTTCTCCATAAGGTTATGAATCAATCAGTTATATTGATTTATTGCCTACTATTGAGCCACTACTGCATTCTTGTATCATCTTCCTTGGTTAATGGTTAATGGAATTATTCTTCTGATAATAATGTATTATGTTTCCTAACATTTTATCTGGGTGTTTTGCATTCATTGTCATAAGAGTAGTAAGTTTCTATTGTTTGAATCTAAACATTGAACCATGTAACTTTATTTTAAAAGTCACTTGACATAAGCATTGAATCTAATTTACTTTTTGAATTTAGGTATAGAAATGCTAGCAGTGCCATCCAAATGATTAACTTTTACTAAATACTCACTTTATGCCAGCAACACATATATTAACTCAGTTAAACCTCATGAAGCAGAAATTATTATTATCCTTATCTTGGGGCACAGAAATTGAAACAGAGATGTAAAATACTCAGGGTTGCAGGGAAGGTAAATAGTAGAGTTAGGATTTGAACTCATGCATCCTAGCCCAGATCTTACCTTCTTCACCATCTTGCATGATTTCTCCAATATGTTACAGGGGAAAATACAAATCTCAAGAGGTATTTGTTCAAAGAGAGAATATAATATAGTCATGTTAATAACCTGTGTTTTTTTACACAATGAAAAATGTATAAGAGAAGTAGCTTACCTACCATTTACTAACATAATAATATAGATTGGAACCTAATAGTATTTAACTATTAAAACACTTACATGAGTATGTAGCTAGTGAAGAGCACTTGTATAACATCTGCAAGCCCTGGGTTCATTCCCCAGTGCTGAAAAAAAATAAAACAAGACGCTTAAATAAACAGTGCTACCAAAGTAATAATATTTCTTTTTCTTTTCAGCAATCTTGACACAGAAGAACTATGTGGTAAGTTCCTTTAAGACTAGTCAAACCTATTACTTGTTGTAAAAGGGAAGAGAATGTTGTCTGATACACTTCTATGCACCTTAAATTAATGTCATAGATTAGGAGTGCTGGAGCAAATAAAAGATAAATCAAGAAGGTCTCAAGGGATTTATCTGTATCCAAGAGTTTTGCTAAAGTGCAGATTTCACTGCAGAAAAAGTTGGGCCTCAATTTGCCCATGGAAGGAGAATTGTTATTATAATCAGTGCATTAGTTCAAAAGAGGTAATTCTCCACACATTTGAGTATATTTTTAAATTGGCATTAATACAACATCATTGTTCTCTTCACAACATATTGTGCAGAGTCTCTCCTTACTGTTTTGCAAAGCTGTCTCCTTGAAAGGTAGGAATACCTTAGTCCCAAACTTGCCCAAAGCAGTTAATTCACTTAGTTTTTTATTTAACTTTGTCTCAAGTATTAAATGTCACTTAGAAAACAAATGATTAAAATACAGAGAAATAATCTTCACAAATGGTTTAATGGCCTCTTCATTGCTTTTCTTCGTCTTTGTAATTGGAAACACAAGTCAAAGATTAGAAATATAGAAAACACATACAGCTAAAAGTTATTTGTTACGAAGAATTGTGGAGCATTATGAGATTATTCAATATGAAATAGCCAAATATCTCTGAATACTGGAAGGTTTTAAGTTTACATTTTAAAATAAATGTGTAAGGAAATGCATCTTGTCCAAGTTTGATCTTATGATCCAGGAAGCTTGAAATACTTTTGATGGTTCAGGATGAGTTTCTCTGAAATTCTTGATTGAACGACAAATCCTTCCTGAATGTCTTCTAATTTTTCAAGTTTTACAGTTTGCCCAAAACATCAAAAAGACTATTTATAATACTTAAATTAGTTATCTTCTATTTCGACAAAAAGGTAAACACCAAGAGATGTCATGGCAGAACAAAGTGTTGGAACAGAGGATTTCAAGGCGATAAGTGAACCAAACAAGTATGAATCCCTAATATGAGCTTTCCAATTTTCCAATGGTCTTCAAATCTCTGTGCTCCCTTTCTTTCTTAGTGTACTTCCCAGGTTCAGAGATAGGAATTCAACTGAAAAACAAGGTATGATTACGAAGAAGCCAAGTACTTGTGTATCCAAGTAGGTCATACTGGTCATGAAACACCAGCAAAGAGAATCGTGCCGCTGCTTTCAATGCAATTGGGTGTCGGCTCCATTCACACATGGTTCTTACCACGCTAAGCAGCCAGAATAATCCATAGGGGCCATGCAACCTCACCATAAAGATGAAGTCGGGGTCCATGTTCATCCATGTGTAGCCGTCTCTGTCAAAAAAGCAGAGAGAACAGGGAGAAATTAATCATTAATCATCTTCAAAAATGTTTGTCTTTCTTCTGTAATAAAGGAACTTAATTATCATCATAACCTTGTATTTACTGAAAAGTTACACTATGACTTTGCTCCATAGTTTTAGTTAAAGAACTGGAAGATGGAGCTTTGCTTCAACAGAATTGCTCTATATATTTTAAAACCAATGATTGTATTCTCAATCATGCTATAATCCTCCCCCTCTCTGTTCAAGAATATGCATTTTAATTTCTAGGGTGTAGCTTCATTTCTCATTATTTTGTGAATATAAAGTAAATATTTAAGTTGGATTCTAATCAAAGCCAAATGTGCTTCAGTGCTAGCAAGTGAAATATGTAGATTCACACCCCACACAAGTTCCCCCTTTGTGTGGGAGGGACAGCACTTGATTGGCACAGAAAGGAGATTTCATATGCTTTCTCCTAGAAGCCAATTAAAAATTCCAGGTATCTATAAAGCTCCCATTTTGTTGCTTTTGCTTAATCTATCAGCTTATTCAACTCTGAACCTAGAATTCAAAATCTTTTAAAATACTGATTTTTAAGAATAAGTTTATGATTTTTAATTATGAAAAGAGTGCTATTTAATAACTTTTTCAAAAGTTGATGTGAAATCATGTAGTATGCAAGCTAAAATGTCAAAATTGTTCTCTTACCTCTCTTCCCTTATTCTGATCTCCACTGTTAATTGCTTTGAACATATCCACCCACATTTTTATGTATATATTGTTTTACAGCAGTGAGATCATATAATGAATATAACTGCATACTCTTCTGTCTCATTTTGTAAACAAATGGCTGCATAGTATTCCATTTTCATTCATTTTTCAACCAAATCCCTTTTAGTGGGTTTTTAGATCCCTTTACCTTTCCCCTGCAGCAAATATTATTGAAGTAAATATTCTCAGATATATTATCTTTGTACACTTGTATGCATCATTCTGTATAGTAAATTCCTCAGAGTGCAACTTCTTATTTAAGGTTTTTCCAGAGCACACACCCACAGCAGTTCATAGGTGTGCCTGAGTGTTCACTCTTCACAGGTCATTGTGAAACCCTTTCTTCATGACCTTTTTGTGATACTTACAACTATTAGCCAATATTCAACTGGATTTTACTTAGAAAATGGTATTGAAGTTCTAGCAGTGAGGCTTTTTTTATATCCATGTGACCATTACCTCTGTTCTCAAAAGTTCAGGAGCATAACTATTACTTCCTTGACCTTACCTGGTTTATGCCTGTTTTTATAACTTTACTCATTTTTACTGAAACTTTTTGCAAATCAAGAGGTCAGTAGCAAGAATTTTGTGACATTTGTAGATTGGTGAAGAATAGTGATAAAGTTCATGTAGCTAGGCTGCCTGATTTGAGAGTATATCTATAACAAATTTTTGTGACCAAGGTAGAATATACTTATTACATTTAATAATGTACTTGCTGATCTAGTTGGCTGTTTAATACTATTAAACTATTTTAACAAATTGATACAACCTGTAAATATGATTATAAAAACCGAGGGTACAGAAAGCTCATGGAATAAAACTTTCTTAGTTTTATGTGCAAGATCCCTTTCAGTAGGTCAGTGCTAGACATCCCAGCTTATGAAAGAGCTGCCTCACCTTCGCTGCCATCAAGGCTGGGTGCTGGATAATCAGAAGACTCTAGGTGCTCTTCCAGGCCCTTAGCCCTTAGCACCAGGCACACACCACTAGGCGATTGAGTGTAAAACATTGACTCACACTAGGTCGCACCCCTCAAAATTGCCATATCCTAAATTTCTGATAACTGCAGTTCAGATCATGAGGGTCTTAACTCTCTCTGACTCTCACTCTCTCTCTTTCTCTCTCTCTCTCAAACACACACACACACACACACACACACACACACACACTCACACCTCCATTATTTTCTTTCCTATTTAGTCTACTGTTTGAGAAATCCTAGCAAAGTATAGACTGTGGGACTCATTTAAACTCAGGATGCTTTGTGAGACCAGTTCCCCAAGTGACCTTTGCAGCAGCTGTGGGTCCTGAGATTCTGACTTAGAATTCTTAGTCTGGACTGGAAAAATGAAACAATTTGGAGGATTAAGGTGTAGAAAAAAAAACACCAAAAGGCATTTGGTAAAGCAAAATCACTAATTAAATACAACAAGGAGGGAAAAATTAACCTCTTGCTAGAATTTTTTAGCCAAATTATTGTACTGAATGTGGATGTGGTTATTGCTTTCTGATTGATAGCTTGTTTAAATGTTTATAAATCACACTCTATATACTCTTTCATTACACCCAATGTCCAGACATTTTTACTTTTGATTTTTAATTTTGGTGGTATTGGGGACTGAACCCAGAGCCTTTGCACTGAACTATATCCTCAGCCCTTTTTTATATACATACTTTTTTTGAGAGAAAAAGATAGGGTCTAAGTGGCCATCTTAGTTACTTTTTGTGTTGCTGAGACAAAATACCCAACACTCAAAGTTAAAGGAGGAAAGGTTTATATAGCTAAAAGTTTTCAGCAGTTTTAGGCTATAGTTGGCTGACTTCAAGGCAGGTTGGCATGCAAGAGGGGCATCAAAGAGAATCAATAGTTCATAAAGCAGGGCAAACAGAAGGTGGCAAACAGCAAGCAAGCAACAAATGATGACGCTCTTTTTGTTCCTTATCTTCTTATCCAGGCTACTTGCCTATAGGTCAGTCAGGTAGCACTCACACCCAAGGTGGGGCTCCCTTAATCCTCCCAGAACTAGACTAACCCTTCACCCCAGCATCACACACTTTAGATCAAGCCACATCTGAAAAGCCTGCCAATGACTGCATGCAGCTTTGCGGGGGGACATCTAGGATACAAGCCATAACATCCCACCCTTGGCCCTCCAAAGACTCATGTACATCCCTTTATGCAAAAAGTGTTTAGTTTAGTCCATCTCTAAGAGTTACCAAAGTCCTAACAGTTTCAGCATTGACAAAAAGTTTAAGTCTGAGGTCTTCCCTGAGATTTAAGGCAAGTTCTTGTCTGCGAGCCCCTGTACAAATTAAAAGAAAGTCAAACACTTCCAACATACAATGGCATAAGATAAACATTACCATTCCAAAAGGTACATACGGGAATACAAAGAAATGAGACCAAAGCAAGTCCAAAATCCAGCAGGCCAGACCTTAAGTCCTGCAGTTCCATGTGCAGCATCCCCAGCAATCTGTGGCAAGTTGTGAACTCCAAAGGACTTGGGTGGCTCTGCCCCCTCAACACTGCCAGTGGTTGTAGCTCCCATGACTTCTCTCTTGGTCCAACTTTGCTCCCTCCTTGAGGTTTTCCTCAGACTTTTCTGGCCTCTCCAAACTTCTGGGGCCTCCACTGCACCTTCAACTTCATACTCACAGTTTCACTCGTTGCCCTCTCAGGATCACATTGCTTGGCCTCCCAGGCCTTCTTCTGAATTCTGGGTGGAAGCTTTCCTGACCTCACAACTCTTGCATTCTGCATGCAACTAAAACCATGCATGCAGTACCACGTGGATGACATCAGTGTCTGCTGCCAGCTGCAGCAGTAGCCAGGCCTCCTCTCTTGGCTGTAGGGGTCAAATGCCTGGATTGCTAGGCACTCTGAATTTAATCCTGAGAAA